TTCAAAGTATTGCTTACATAACACTATAGTATTATATCTTATCGTATATGAGAGCCAATCAAACAAATTGTTTTATATTTTGAAAGCACTTTTTAAACATAATTTTACATTTTTATTGTGGAAAACACTTTTTGATACAACTTTTAATTAGTTTTACTGTAATTACCGGTTATATTGAGTTTGTTTTTTAAGGAAATGTTTTCCAATCCAAAGTTTTATAAATAATTTGGCGATCATTAGTTTGTAAATAATCATAAAAAGCGATTAAAATATTTTTGCGCACACTTTTGGCAAGTCTGCCATACATTTGAATTTCTAATTCATTCATATCTCCATTACTCTCATTGCAAATGGCCATAAACTTTGAGTGAACGCCAATCGGATCGCATTCATACACCAAGAAATCGCAGCCAAACTTTATGCCATCCGTTATGTAATAGTTTTTACGCCACAAGTCTTTGAACACTTCATATCTTATCACCTCTTTTGGTGTCTTCGGGTACGAGAAGTCTATAACACTTTCCACTCTTTTATCAAATGGACACTTCGTATTCACTTTTATCGCACAGTTTTCAGCTGTAATTACAGGTATTTTCTGCAACTCTTGTCGTATGATCTCTTCGTGTAGTTCTTTGCGGTCTAAATGCGGAAACCTTTGGGCGAATCGCTTCTCTTTTCCGGCGATTATCTTATCGGACATCTGATGAATGGCTTTCACTCTATCGGCTCTAAATTGTTCGTTATTTTGGTGACAGAAATCGTGCCTTAATTTTGTGTAAAACTCTTTCATTTCGTCGTTAATTGTGAGCTCGTATTGGACGACAACAGCCACTCCTGTGTCCACCAGATGTTTGGCCTCTTCGGGCATCAGAAGCAACGGAAGTCCTAAATCTGAGTTTTGTTGTGCGAACCCAGGCATTGATCCAACAAAAGAGCCCACAATTCGGTGTATTTTTCTTAAATAACTCACATCTAAACCAAACATTTAACAAATCATTTATTAAACAAAATTAGTTTTTATACGAGAATTGCGTGAAGTCTCACCGTTTGGATCCCAAACGAGGACTCTTTGGTTACAAAACGTGAGTTTAATCATTGATTTAAACAATTTATTGCTTTCAAAAGTGTCTTAATTATCGGTAATATTAATCGTAAAACTAATCGATAAACTTAATTATTAATCACAAAAATTACTAAACGATTGCTGACTAAAACAGTGTCCACTAATCTAGTAATATATCATCTGATGAATGGGAACAGCTTGTGGTGATGATAACGACTCGGGTGGTCACCAGCAGGCTTTGGCCACTCCGGACAGTAAGTTATAATCGGCTAAACCTCTGAACATGTGTCGACTCAACTTATATCTCCGCACTTTGCCTCTGGATCTCGAGCTTATGATACAACGATTGGTCAGATGATGGATGAGTGCGTCTCGAGGAAGGCTCCGGTTCTCCTCGTGAGCCAACTCCTGCAGCCATTACAACACCGTTAAGATAAAAGCGCTAAAAACATGGCAAACGCCACACTTACCCTGATATTTGACGGCAATAGTTTACTCTTACGAATAGTGTAGAGGATCTGTTTCTGCGGGTGATATCGCGAGAAGATAATCCTTCGGCGGCAGTCCCTCAACATCCGCCAATCAGCCCATTTCAGGGCTTCTTGGCGTTCAAGGGATGGGAGGTTAAGGTCCGGCACCTGTCTCTTGCGCACCACTCGCGTGTCGTATACGGAACCGCTGCCAGTGATGGGGTAAGTGGGCGGCAGGTTCACAAAGTTGGGGAAACTCGGACCTCCCTTACGGCGGACACTGAGACACACCAACGGTTTGATCCCAAATTGAAACCAACTCTTCAATACACTCGCCATTCGTATACACAAAACATAACACAACTGTCCTCCCGGTGCCCATCAATGACGACAAGTGTCGTACCATATGGCGCATAGGATTGTAAGTTTCAAAACTTTTACACCACTTTTGAAATGGCGTTTAAATGGCTGAATGAGTGCCACGACCGCCGATGTAGTGATCATATGAACACTTTGTGGCCTACAATACGGTCTAATAGTAATGGACACGAAATGTATGATCGCTACAATGAACGACATATACAGTGAACCGAGTGGTGAGACACTGGGAATGCCTGCAAACGGACCGCACGTTAGTTATGAACGCATTGAGTGCTGGTCTATGAGTGGATGACTGGAAGGGATGTGCAGAGTGTGAGCCAATGGGAGGACGCGATGGCAGTCCAGCACCGGTGACATCACAGCCCTCTCACAGACTACTTAAGGCACGACATAGCATATTGAAGACCTCTTCTATACTGTGCGCTCCACTGTGAACATCATTGTAAGTGTTTTGCCATTCATTTGCTTTTTCTTAACATTTCTTATAAACACTTCTCTTATCTATTGATGAGTTATTATAATTATATTCATAAATGCCTTAATTCAGTGACCATTCAGTGGTTATTAAGACTGCTATTCATTGCAAATAATTGTAAGCAAAGCCGGCGTTTACTCATATACTGTAAGCCATGCATTGAACGCATTGCCAACGCTTTCATTCATTTTCTTATGCTTTTTGGCTTTATTTCAAATAATTTAAAACTTAATTAAATTTAATTTACACCTAAATTATCGTTAGTTTTCGCAGCGATTTACATATGATTTTACAGCAATTGTGTGACAAATGTCTAAAATATGTGTGTTTTGTGTGAAATGCGATTAAAAGCCACGAACGCATTGCTGGCGTTGAACGCAGTGTTAACGCATTGACACTATCATAGGCTACCAGTGCTGGAGCAATGCATTCGCAATGCCTGTGTATAGCCATACCATTGCCTCCCTGTCCGCCATTTTTCGCCATCCATTTCCGCTTTGTATTAACTCAGGCATTGGGAAAGCATTGCACCGGCACTGCACTCACACCACACACTCACCCTTTAATTGTTATATATTTGCTTTAATCGCAAGTCTTGTCACTTAATTGTGTCTCAAAAGGTATTAGAGTTTTAGTGTCTATGCGTTGACTGTAATGTCAGTTGAGATGAGAGACAAACGATTTGGTGTTTGGTCTGAAAGGCAAACAGATTTCCATTCATTTGTTAGCCATTTCTTGACTGACGTGTTATCAATGATTAGGATTTTTATCTGGATTTTAATTTAACTTTTTTTGTCATTATTTTTTGCGATCAGTTGCTTAAGACAAATAAGCCGTGAATTGTCTGCCAAACGATCACCAGAATGGGTAAAGAGAAGACTCATATCAATTGCGTTGTCATCGGACACGTGGACAGCGGGAAGTCCACCACAACCGGACATCTGATCTACAAGTGCGGGGGTATTGACAAGAGAACCATTGAGAAGTTCGAAAAGGAGGCCCAGGAGGTAGGCTTACCATTGATGTAGTGTGAGACACGTGTCTAACCCTGACCTCTACCCCCACCCCTCCGTAGATGGGAAAGGGATCCTTTAAGTACGCGTGGGTTTTGGACAAACTGAAGGCCGAGAGAGAGCGCGGAATCACTATTGATATCACTCTCTGGAAGTTCGAGACTCCTCGGTATTACGTGACAGTGATCGACGCCCCGGGTCATCGAGATTTCATCAAAAACATGATCACCGGTACCTCACAGGCGGACGTGGCTGTGCTCATAGTGGCCGCCGGGACGGGAGAGTTCGAGGCCG